AATTATAATCATCTCTCTATTTATAGCACGCGCGTAGTGGATTACTGCTTCCGTTTAATGTCCAAGGCTATACTCAATTAAAGAAAATTTTGTTTAAATAATAATTTCATTGAATAAAGTAGAATATAATAACTCTTTATTGTTAACACCACGGATATAGATATTTACATACAAATATTAATATTACAGTGTAATAATTGGCGGTCTTATCGCTTAGAGCGATCTCTCCCAGACAACCTTTGGAGAACTAAATGACAATCAGGAAAAGGGGGTACAAACTTAAATAATTTAGTAGATATTAAATCATAAATATTTAATTATATTAAATAAAAAACAATTGAAATTCCACAAAAAAAATATATCCCCTAGATCCCTTCTCTTCACAAACAGAAAGAAAGTTTATTCAATTTCAAATAATTAATGTCAACATGAACCAAAAAATCGTTCAGAGAGTAAATTCATAGTTGCGTGCTAGGACATTATATCTGTACTAATACTATAAAGAGGATTTGATTGTTTATTCGTTTGTATCGAATAAGCTCCGAAACAACTGGACCAATTGTAAATATTCTTTCGCTAACGGGTAGCTACATCATACAGGGTTGCAGCTTTAATTAACGCATGCGAATTTGCGGGAAAAGTGCTAGTTATCTATATTTTCACGACGTCTTCACGATGGCAGACTGCATTCTAATATAAAACTGAGCAAGAGAGCCCGACTCGCGTAGAGGGATACTCAATTAGACAAAACTGTATTTTGTTTAATATAGTTTTGGAGACTAGGCTCTTTAAAAATCTAAATTGCGATATGTTAAACTTTTTTTACTTAAACCCGTCAACAGTTTTCAAAGTTATAAATCTATTATAATATTATGAAGAGGAAAGTTTCGTTTGTTTTTTTTTTTGCATCGAAAAGGCTCCGTAACTACTGCACAACTTTTAAAAATATTTTTACCCATAAAAAAATCAATTAGAAACTGGATATTTTAATTAAATTCTGAAGGAAAACTTAACAACTTGCACTTTTAATACGTGACCAATGGAATTATACCTAACAATGTCTAATTAACTAATAAGTTCAGGTTTACTAAGACCGTGATTAAGTTTCATTAACATGTAACAAACGCTTGATAGCTGTTTTAATTAGTTAATCAGTTACGCTTTTCTGTTCGAAGAAGTTCAGCCTCGAACTCTACTTCGAGCACCGCGCTTTGACAACAAAAAGCTTTAATGATAAACATACTTTATTAATTTTTGAAGTAGGTTTTATTTCATTGAACCTCTTACTCTAAGAGCTCGGGACAAAAATATGCAAGAGCTTAAGCTTCATATTGCATTGTAAAATAATGCAATATAAAGCTTTAGTAAGCTCTTGCATATTTTGTCCCACCGCCATCAGTTGTTCCAACACTTGACCTTCGCACTGGATACTAAGTGATGTTATACTTATTTCAACATAATGAAATATCAAGATTTAGGAAGACCTTGCACATTTTTGTTACGAGCTCTTCGTCTATTTTACACTTTTTTTTCTGCAATTTGGAAGGTTTCGATTAACTACTTATTTTTCAAAAAATTTGTTAATCTACTTTACATATTAATAACGTCAGGGACGAGTTATTTCTTGTGAACGTTATATTTGGATGGATGTTTTTCATTTTCATTTCATTTCATTTCATTTGGGTTTGGTCATTATAAAGTTGAAACCCGAGCATAGAGAAAGGTAACGATTAATTTAAATTCATAGGTAGAGATCCAACCGTGTTTTAGTGAACTAAACCTAAATACAACTATTCCGACTTATTGAAGTAGGAATGGTTTGTTTCGAGTATGACGTCGATGGCCGTTAACCAAATAATAGGTATGAGATATGTGGTTTCTTAACCCTTCAAATCAAAATATTATATTCTTAATACAAAATGCTTAAAAAATCCACTTGGTCCCTGGCACCCTGAGATGGGAATCGAACCCACGACCTTTCGCAGCCGGGCGACTGCTCTAACCACTGAGCTACCCAGGACTTAACAGGACTGACGAATATTTCAAGCACTTGTTACTTTTGTCTGAACATTTTTTCAGTATGGCATTGTGAATGCAAAATTAATCAAAATATTATATTTTAACAAGCTTTCTGTCGTGTGATACCTAGGGAGCTGTTAGATTACCTATACAAACTTTCACTCTCATTTTCATCCTTTCATTTGCTGTTTGCGGGATAAAATATAGCCTATATCCATCGCATATGATGTAGCTTCCCGTAGGTGATAGAATTTTTAAAATCGATCCTATAGTTTCGTTTCGTTGCAAACAAACAAATAAACAAATCTTCCCTTTTTATAATATTAGTATGGAAGTATATGCAGATATGTAATGTTTGGAATTATTTACACGCAATCTAACAAGACGAGACTAGACGTGTACATGCCACAATTTCTCTTAACATCCTCATTGCTGAGTCATAAATCTTCTTGGATAGAATCAAATACGGAGAAAGGGCCTGTAGTCACAAACCACATGCGGCAATTAAGGTCCGCCTTTGAAATTGTCAGTACGCATTTCAAACGCTCTTATTACATACAACGCGGTCCTTAATTGCCACATGTATCTTATGAGTTAGCTTGGCGTTAAATACTTTAGATATAGTCGCGACCAACTCTTTTAAGATGGGCGCATAAACACAATATAACTATCAATTAGCTTTGTACAAAGAAATGATGTCCAAATAAGGGCATCGGTATATGCACAGTGAAAGATCTAAACCGCGAATTTATAAAATTATGTCATTAGAAAAAAATATCATCATCATCATCATCAGCCCTTTTACGTCCCCACTGCAGGGGCTCAGGCCTTCCTTATGGATGGTTAAGGAGGATGAGCCATGACCCTCCACGCTGGCCCAATGCGGATTGGAGGGTATTAACGACTGCAAATGCAGCCGGGACCAACGGCGTAACGTGCCTTCCGAAGAACGGAGTAGCTCGAGATAATAATTTTTTGGTTACCCATCCCGTGACCGACCCTTGCGAAAGTTGCTTAACGAAGTTGATCACGGGCCGTGGCGCTTATCCACTACGCCACCGAGCTACTAGAAAAAAATATATAAAGCTGAATACCTCTATAATTCACATTTTTAATTTATTCTCGTAATTATACTCTTTACTATAGGGAAAATTGATAAATATGTAAGACTTTTACAATAATCGAATTGGTTTGCGAATGATTGATTACAAATATTTTTACTTCTATCTTATTACCGGACCGAAATAGACAGCAGGGGCAGTAATCTTATTTTTGCGCCCAGATTTACGTGCCTTTCAAGGCACGGAGTAAATATAAATAAATAGTTAGGCGTTCATGCGTTCAATTTCGACAATCACAGTTCAAATCCGTTATCTATAATTGCTTCTGATCTGGTTTCTTCATTCGGAAATTCGAAGTCAACGAATAATCATGGAGTATGTACTTACAAAACAATATTTCTCCTCAAGTACTTATCTCGGAAGGAATTTTCCCGCAAACCGAAGTCTGTTTATAAAGTAGGTAGGGTTGTGTTGGAAAAGTTATTGGAAGTTAGTTTTGGTAATAATTTCGAATTTCGCTATATTGTTTACTTCAATTTTAGAGGTAAGCTTAGTAAACAGAATATGAGACTAACATTTAATTTGTACTATGTTTATCATCATTTGTTTATTACCTTGGAAGATTAAACTGTCTCAAATTGTGAACGGTAACAAACTATTCACAATTTAACGCATTAATTACGAATAGTTCATCCCTTGGTAAAGGTCTAACAAGAATTTTAGAAGGTCCATATGTTGTCTAATTTTACCATCCCTATTAAAATGAATGAACTGTCCTTGAATGGTAGTATTAAGTGGTAGTACAGTCCATGTATAGAAAGATCTATGAAATTCACATTTGTGTCCTTTTTTTTCTCGATTATAGGCACACCTAATAAAAATCCGAAATTATGTCTAGAGGAACCGACAGAATTCCAATTTCAAAATTAATTTAAAATAACAGAATAAAGGGACGATAATATCAATATTTCACTTTACTAATGGAATAATTTCGTTTAAATCAAAATAATATATTAAAAAGCGGTTTTTTTATGGTTTGAAATAAGTTCTTGTTTGTAACCTTAGTTTACTAAGTTGATAATCTTGTAATAAAAATTAATTTGATTTTATAAATCTCTGTGGTTTCTGACGTGGGCATATGTAGTGATGGGACAACGGAAACACATTAAATCATTTGTTGCATGTCACATTAAAATTGTAAGATGGTCATTATTTTGTTGTTCGTGTACATGTGACGCCCTGTAAGGGCATAGCAATGTTATAACTCAATTTTGAAAGATTACAAAAATACAAATAAAATTACATAATATAAGAAATTACATGTCAAGAAACTTGTAACAATAAATATTAACAATAATTAAATTAAATATAAATGAGGTGTTTCAAATATTACAATATTCATCAATAATAATTTTTAAATTTATCCCTATTAATGGGATAAAATGCTGAGACTACCAGTAAACAGGGTAAGTTTTCATCCATACATGATTTAAGTACGATTCACTCTCAAGCATTTGTTGCGATTTTCACACTGGTTTCGATTTGGTTGACATGGATTTAATCAAAATACAATCGACAATCAATTTTTAGTTCAATTCAATATTGTATCGGACGTTGATTTTATTAATTCAATAAGATGTATTGAACACACTCTCTTACAATACAGTATTGAACATTAAATACACTTAGATTGAAATGCCAACTATAGAGAAGCCAACGCTGTTACGGGGATACATTATTGATAAACAAATTGATGTGGTTTATGTAATAGGAACATTGCAGAAGGAATTAAACACAAACCAATTTTTATATTTGTTTAATAGCTTTAACACTAGCAAACATCAATCAAAAACAAGTACTTTTAACAATAGGTATAATGAATAACAAAATATCTAAATTAATATGCTGTTTTATACATGATTATTTCAATTTGAAGTGTTCCAATTTGTGTCCAAGGGACATGAAAATATTTTCTACAGTACACGGGTTTCCTGTAAAATAAACGGAATTAGGCAAGGATTATGCGTTTATTTTATAGATTGGGTAATAGGGGATGGCGACTAATCTTTGTTTATTGTCAGGTAGATTAATGAAGAATATGAAATACGTATTTATTTTATTTTTTGCGTTATCAATAAATTATAGCAATATTGTGTTGAAATTTAGTTTGCCAAATGTTTAGTCGGGACCTATTCAAATTATATGGGGCTCCGTTGATTGATCTAAAAGGAATGGGACCCGACTATTGATCCTTCTATTCTGCTTTTGAATTTATGATATGTTTTATCTGTGTATAGATTTTGAAACTATTTCAATCGAGCAGTTATTCAGCAGGACTTAATAACATTCTAAATTACTGGACTTGTTTTTTCCTTTTAGTTTTTAGTTTTACTTTCTGTCTTTACATGAAACTAACTCGAGCCATCATTTGGCATCGATTATCTTTTAACCTTTTGTTTATATAGGTATAGATACGCCCTCTAGGTATTTCAATTTATTTTTCAATGCGAAATAAAGTTGCTTCTGTTACGTTGCCTGGAAGATATTGTTGTTAAGTATTAAGGCTTTCTATAGACTATATTGTTATTTAAGTAATTTTCCCTTTTGTATCGTGTGCAATAAAATGTAGATTTTTTTTTATTATTTTTTATGGGATAAGGGCAGACGAGCAGACGGATCACCTGATGGTAAGTGATTACCGTCGCCCATGGACACCTGCAACACCAGAGGGGCTACAAGCACGCCAGCCTTTGAGAGACGAATATGATCATAGGGAGGGAAGGGTTGAGGGGTAGAGGGAAGAGAATAGGGAGGGGTTGGGCCTCCGGTACCCTCACTCACACGACGAAACACAACGCAAGCGTTGCTTCACGTCGGTTTTCTGTGAGGAGTGTCGGGGTTCACGTGGTATCACTCCGGTCGAGCCGGCCCATTCATGCCGAAGCGTGGCTCTCCCATTATTATTTAAATTAGCTGTTTTCCCGCGACTTCGCCCGAGTAGAGTAGAGTAGAACCCGGTAGCCAACTCTCTGAACGCGGCTTCTCCCACGCAAAATTCGGTTATATCCACACCTTTAAGCCTATTTTTCGCAATAAAAAATTTATATTTATATTCTCCCAGTCGACTCTATCTGTGTAAAAAATGTAATTAAATAAAGGTTCATTAGTTTAGGCGAAAAAACGTAACGGACCCTCACGGACAGAGAGAGATATAGTTATTTTTATATACACACACACACCACTATTAGTATGTAATGTTCGTTTCAATTAACGTTGTTTTAAGTTTAAGTAGGAAATAAAAGACTTTTAACGTACCAATTTCAATCCATTGATCTTCGTAGCCCGCCTCTAATCGAGCCGCCCTCACAGCCTCCCTCAAGGCGTGAGTCAGCACAACGGCCATACAGAGTGCTGGCTCACCAGTTGCTAGAATTAATGACATTATTTATTCCTATGACACTGTCACAGATAATTTAATAGGCGTTAGGACACTGTCAATCACTCAATCTTCGAGAATCTGTTTAAGCGAATGCCATATATGGATATGGTTATTTGTTGTCAATACAGTACACCAAGATAAATAAAAATTTGGAACAACAAGTATTTGAACCTGTATTGGAATGTTTTTAAAGTATTCGAAAAATTGACTTTTTGTAGTAATTTGCTGCAGGTTGTTTATAACTACTACTTACGACTACTTCTTCTAATAATTAACCTAAGACTTGCTGTAGAAAATATAGCGTTAGCATATCCACTCTCAAACGTTATTGAAAAGATTACAATAAGAAAACTTATTCTATTGTAATTATTATTTTCTCTTCGTAAAATATTTTTTGTATTTTGAAATTCTTACCTTTTGATTGAAGTACACCGTATGGATTCCTGGCGTTTCTTCGGAAATAAACTCTGAAATCAGCTGGAATGTCCTTTATACCAGGAGGTTTGTACGTCCAAGTTCTATTTGTTAATAATTTTCCTGAATCTGCGTCATACATATTTTTTTCAGATGTCCAATATCCTAGACCCATTACAAATGCACCTTCAATCTAAAAAATATCTTTTAAATTATTTTTTAATCCATGCTTTCTCAGCATCAGGCAGAAGAAGGTCCTTACTTGTCCTATGTCAATTTCTGGGCTTAGACTTCTTCCTGTGTCTTCTAGAAGATCTACTCTCCGAACATCATGATTACCAGTTAATATGTCAACTTCTACTTCCAATACGACAGCACCATAAATATCATAAGGTTTCACACCATCTTTCATAGAGAATGTATAAGATGCTTGCAAATCTATACCGTCATTGAATGCCTCTTTAACAATTTTCTCCCAAACTGGTTTGTCCATTTTCTCCCTAACAGGTTTTAATCTTTCCAAAATTATTTCACATGCTTTCATAGTAGCAAATGACACACATTCACTACCAATACTAGCTCCAGTAGCCATGGAGTTGGGCGAAGTGAAACTTGAGCTTGGCTTAATGCTGATTTTTTCTAATGGAATTCCAAACATGTAACCACAAACTTGAGCTACCTTTGTATTTACTCCTTGTCCCATTTCTGTGCCACCGTGTGTAATAGATACTGAACCATCAGCGTGATATATAGAAACTAAAGCATTGTATGGACTTAAATAAAATAAATCATATGTCATTGGTATTAAGCTCATAGCTCGTTTTCTCCAGCGGTTGTCTGTATTAAATTTCTTTATTTCTATTAATCTTTCATCATAATTTGAATCTTTCTTGATTTGTTCTAATATCTCTGGAATAGGGTTATTTTCTTTTGCCATGTTTATTAATCTCACTTGAAGTGGGTCTAGTCCCATGTTATAAGCTATTCTTTCTATTATATTTTCAATCATAGCTAATCCCTCTGTTGACGCTGAAAGTATATGTTTATAAGTGAAAAATTTGCTTCCATATGTTTTCATATGCAAGTACTTGAAAGAAGTGGATGGGATGATATGAAATATTTATTTTATATAAACATATATATTTAATTTATAGTTCTCATGTTAGTTCTCACAGCTGAATTTAATTGAAATTTATTAATAATTCATGATCATTGTTTGTTGGTATAAATGTTTACTTTGTTTTGTGAGAAATGCCTATAACGCCCGATCCGAAATACAACTTGTAAAGTAACAATAAAAATGAAAGTATTTTAACGGTTTTTTTATCAAACACAATAATCTCTTTAATATTTAATTTTTCTGCCCATTGAAAGAATTTAAAAGGACGATGACAATATTTTATGTACCTAAAATCATATAACGTACGTAATACTTTAACGATACGTAAATAAGCAATTCTAGAAAACTGTTTTACCCAAAGTAAATATCATATTACAATTCTTTTGTAGGAATTGTAATATGATTTTTACTTTGTAAAAGTGGTATGCCCGTGCAGAACTGAGAAGTAAACTTTAAAATACATACATGGAGCTCTACACCAAGTGTTAGATGGGGTGTCTGTATGTACACTATTCGCTTCAATATACCAACGTCTTGTGTCATAGCAGTTGCGAAAGTGATTTACTGTTATTGGGCTAATAGTTTCATTTGGAGCGCAACCATTGTCTTGATAAAATTTGTTTTTTAGGTATTGGATTTCACCTTCTTTATTTACTCCAACCTTAAATTAACACGATAATATATCAGAGTAATATATTTTGTTACATTAATTAAGATCATCTTATTGTTGTTTTGGCTAGATTACTAACAAAAACAGAAATAAAGTTTATTTGTCCAAAATTTGTTGTATCATATATATTTCTATTTGAATATTTACCTCGAAGTTACAACTGGTCGGAAGACGTTTACCAATAATCATCATACTGGTTTCTAAAGGCAATATGAATCTACATATTTTGCCTTGCAAATGGGCGACCAATGCAGCTGCACAAGCAATTTGACAAGAACGGGTGATTTTACCTCCGTACCCTCCTCCCACTCGGCGTACAATAACATTTACTCTGTAATAGAAAAACAAAATATATGTTTGAAATGGTTTGCTACTTTATTTTAACCTTTCCTAACAGTTACGAGCTTCATTTTTAATTAGCAATGCTATTGTGTTATAGAAACAGTCAACGTAGGTGTATAGAGGTTCAATTAAATAAAATCTACTTCAAAAGGTAATAAAAGCTTTATTTCATTGAAGATTTATTACAACACATTGTTCCTACGTTCGATAGCGACTTAGAGGCTGTTTATTAACAAAATGGCATAGCTGAACAGACAAATGTTTTAAATTATAATTTTATAGCACATACCTATTAACAGACATATTTAAGCTTTGAGCTACAGCCACATTAGTTAAATCAAGCCATTGTGTTGCCGAATAAACGTCAAGTCCATCTTCAGTAGGTTTCGCTATAGTGGTTTGAGGTTCCATATAAAAATGGTGTTGAGTTTCCAAATAGTATTCCCCATAAATTACACATTTGACATCATTACCAATATCGGTCGGTTCAATGGTTACATTGTTTATAAGCCTTTTATCTTTTTCCGGTGAGTTCAAGACATCTTGAACTGTTAATATGGGTTTGTTCTTATTTACTTGGGAATAATTTACCTTCACTAACTTGGCAGCTTTATTAGCTGTTTTTTCTCGGTCTGCCACGATTATGCCACACGGTTCACCATAATATTTAACTACACGAGAACATAAAATTTCTTCATTTGCTAGTATCAGTGGCACATTTGTGGGGGTAAACGAATTATCTCCTGGTATGTCTTTAGCGGAATAAAAAGCTATAACTCCAGGAATTTTCTAAAACGAAAAAATAATAGTTACTTATAGTCTAATTAATATTTGTTTTTATAACAATTGTAAAATTAATTTAACTTACTAAAGCTTCTTCTATATCAAAACCACTGATTATACTTCCCGGTCTATTATCAGCGGTGACAAACGAACCGAATAATTCTCCCTTTTCAGTGGGTAGATCATTTGCAAAGACAGCCTCACCACTGCATTGCACTTGAGCCTCTAATTTTGGCACTGGCTTGTTTAAGGGCCAAACGGTTTTATCAGTGTCAAAAGATTGTGTTCCATTGGATATATGTCTTTTTATAGCTTCTCCTCCAGATTTAAATCTTTTATTTAGTTTTTCATCGGGACATAAGTATAAGATTGCCTAAAATAATGACTTTCGTTTAGAAATCTGAAAAGTATATTTGATATAATCATTATGAACTTACTTTGTAAAATAGAGCAACAGCAAGCATTTTCCTATATGCAGCAGATGGTTCTGGTGGCATATCTTCGGGAGAAATCTCCTTATACAATGTTTTGAGAGCCGATTTCAACGTTTTATTGTTATAAGGATCTTTATCTTCTAATAAGGCTTCTGTTTTACTGGCATGGTTAAATTTTGCTGATATACTACCAAAAACGAGGGTAGCTTTTTCTAATAAATTAGAATTTTGTTTAAATTTAAATAAGAATGCTGCATTTACAACAGCGTGAGCATTTTGAGATCTTGGCATAATCTGAAAAGAACAATATTGAGTAAGTATTTTCTAACATGGAGTTAAAAGCTTAAATCGTGAACATGACTTGTTTGTGATGATCATTTAAATTTTTATATATCTACAAATATCAACATCTACACTGCCCTCTGTAATGTTTAATCATATCTATTACTCAAATTATAATAACTATACCTTATAAGATTTAAAGTAGCAATATTCTGATAATGGAGGTAACTTTATATTCTTAATGATTTTCCCTCTCATATCTATTTCCAAGAATTCGAGAAGAGTAACAGTTTTCTCTTTTTTTGGTGCCTCAGCTGAAAAATAATATTAAAAATTATATATTTGTCCATTAAGTCTTATTTAATAACTTTAGTAAATACAATTAGCATTAGTGTATGTAAGGAGCTATATTGAAGCACGAGTAATTGTAAAATATTCACGGCCATTTATGTTTGAGAGCAAGTGGAATCTCACGGAGGATGAGAGAGGCGCGATTCACACCATCATTTGAGTAAATGCTATTATCTTGCAATTTTTTTAACGATAAAGGTGAACGTTCATTTGTCTGCATGAATACACCGGACGCACGACTCGCAATGGATTATATTAAAAATTCCTATGACGTCATTAGCATAGATAATTCCAACGTTAAACTGAGAGTCGATTTTTTTCATAATAGAAGTATTATAAAAATACGACTGCAGTGGACGTACGACATCGACATATCAATACAACGTGTTGCGTGTCGTGCGACCAGTGCGTTCATGCTGAAGCAGTGGAGGAGCAAATTTACGGCAATCTTATATTCGATAAATTATTTTATATGCTATAGTGTTATTTTAATAAATGTGCCACCTTTGTGATGACAGATACTGACTAGGATGACAAGGACGAAAAATGAGATTATACCAATTGTAATCATAGCACCAACAGCTTCAAATAGCAAAAAGATGTCCGATTGAAAATCATTGTTTGTGTATTTCATGTATAGATTTCCACCAATGGTTCCAATCTGTAAATCAATATTTAATTCCAAATTTGTAATTTTGACAATAATTTCATTATGATTTTGGAAATTTTATTTTGTATCTGTACTTACATTTCGTACTGGTATATGGGCCACCAAATCCATGTGCTCATAGAATTGTTTTAAATAGGAAAAACCGTCATTTGATGCTGAAACTTCCAAGAAGAGGTTCATCATTTCGGACAATGGCATCCCCGCTCCTAATATGAGGTTTACATCTAGTAGGTGACCTTTCAATTCTGCTACATAAAATATATCTATAATAGTTTTTGGATATTCTATGACATGATAAACACCTGTAAATATAATGAATTATATGCTATGTTTACAGGAATAAATAGCTTAGACTATTTTAATGAAACTATAGTTGCCAAATCTTATACCTTGTCCAGTATTTCCTGCAATAAATTTGTAATCTTTATTGGTATTTATCACATTAAAGACGTCGGTTAGATTATATGGTTTGTACCATTTATGGTTGCCACAGTCGATAACTATCATTTTATTATTATCCTTTTCTAAAATACACCAATCTTGATCGGTTATTTCGTTTGTTGTAACACATTTATGTTGACACATATTTTGGCAAAGAGCACCACAAGGTTTGAAGAAACCCACATCTTCTATATCTTGTAGTTTCATTTTGAGTCTAATGTCGATATCTGTTGCGAATGATTTGAACGCATCTGCAATTGGCCTGTATCCGGTACATCTACAGATGTTACTGGCAAATGAATTTTCTATTTCTTTCATTGTCAACTTTTTGTTCTTTGACTCATAAATACTGGAATAAGATGTATTATTTAAATGTATTATCAATTTGATTGGTAAATATGGGACAATTGAAACTCTGAAGCTTCATTGTTTATTGCAACAATTTTGTAGGTGTCTATATAGGAAAAAAAGCGTTATATTTTCAATCAATCTTATTAATAAAAAAGGTGTAGCGTTAGAGTAAATTTACGCTGAGATTATAATTAGTATTTCATATAAAGCCAATTCATATTATTACTTAGTAAATTCATATTATTTAACAGACTTAGCAAAGGTTAACTTGGTATGAGATAAATATTTACCCCTAGAAAGTACTAGATTTGCTTATTCTCTGTATAGTATGAATTTAGACTAATATTAAATTTGCAATGTCAGCGTGAATTTATTAATTAATTTCACTGAATGTGATTTTATGTTAAGATCGCTCATGCTAAGTGATTTAAATACAAATTTTAAAGTTTAAAATAGATGCAAGTAATGGGGCAAATTTGAGTATAATTGAATTTTGAAGGTAACTACAGTTTTTTATGCATCTTCTGGAATATCGTGAGAAGTACTTGCTTGCACTTTACCTGTACATATTCATGACCCATCCTGGGGTACAGTAGCCACATTGTGTTCCATTGAACTTCGCAAGCCGACTTTGAATTTCATGGTAGCCGATTGTTTTATTACCAATTCCTTCTACCGTCATAATTTCCCAACCTTGGCATGATAAAACGGAAACTAGGCACTGAAATATAAAATAGGCATTTATTTAAAGTTTTTTTATTTATTGATGTTCGTCTTGTTTATAAATAATTAGACAATATTAGTACAAGAGGCAAACATTATGTCTTCATTGTATTGATAAGTAATATGTAACTTTCCGCATAGTAAAAAAACGGTAAATGACCAAAAACATCATATACTTTTGAAAGTTAACAATACATATCGCTATCAATAGAATTCTGTATCGTCTCGGTAAAATATTGCCTATTGTTATACGGGGGAGGGGGGGGATTCAACGAACCGAACCGCCCTCGTATAACAATATAGAGAGTTCTATAGATACCGATATGTATCGTTTAGTTTCAGCACCAACATAGTTAAGATTATTGTCCGTTTTATCCTACGATAGGGACAGACTAGATTGAGGTCAAGTGTTAGCCTAAAACCAGCCAATTGATTCGCGTTCCGTACCATTATTTATTAAAAACGGTTTACGAACATCACGTTTATGTTTTATATTGAGCTGTTCGAAATTTTCGGGTTAAATACAATTTCCTTTTAACTTCGTTATATATAGGTACTACTGCTGTAACGTTTGAATTTTTACCAACGATCGCTTAGTTGGTAGAGGGGGGACACTTGACTCTAACAAAAATTTGCTCTTAAAAGCTCAATAACTCACAAATGGGATACTCAATCGAAAAACAACCTACTATGCGGAAGACGAAGGAAAAATTATCATCCCCACTATACACGTAGGGAAAGTACACAACTTTCTAGTACCAATAGTTTTCGAGCTAAACCGCTTAGGGACGGTCGGACATGGGGAAACTATAAGGGTTCCTTGTTGACTACATAACCTTAAAAAACTATCATCAAGCTTACCGAATTCACGGAGAATACTTTGATTTCTTGTGATGGTGGTATCGCAGCGCGCACTGCTACGATGCAAACCCCACACCCTCCCTCGTGGCACATAGCCTTAGTACCACGTAGATCAGCAACAGTACGGATATACTCGTTGAGGGACACATCCGGACCATATTTTCCATCCGCTAAGGTTTTATATATAATTCAGGTTATGGTAAACTTAACTTAAAATTATTTCTTTATTTAGGGTGATTTCGGTGTTTATAGTATTGAGTGCTTTACACTATGGCACAATATACTTCCTCTTCCGTTTTTATCGCTGCATCCATAGTGTGTGTAAGAAATTATAAAATTGGTGTTTTAAATAAAAGTTTCATTATTGAAAAGCTACGTTATTTATTTTATAACGATAAAATGTGATCCGTTCGACTGGATAAATAAGAAATAGAAAAACTGTGTGTTGACGTGGAGTTATGCCGGCGAAAAGGTAACCTTCGGGAGCGTGAGTTATACTTCATTCTAAAGCTCGATTTATTGTGTACATTATCTATATTATCTATATTGTACGTTATTCTTCACATAAATCGTCATCATAGACAAAATAGAATGGTATAAATAAATATGCACACCTAAACAGACGTACAACCGTTTTAAAACACTGTATGTAGGTTGACAAATACTTTTAAATTTTAATAAACATTGAATATAATAGCAATATTTGTTTTTTCGGAAAAACAAATCTCATGAACGCTGTTTTTAATGAAAATAAATACCATTATCGCATCAATGTTATTAAAGTCATCATAGAAACTGATAATATATAATGACGAAAAAAAAGGTGTCGTTTTGCTGCAATGCTATATTATTATTTAAGAACCTGGGAGGGTGAATTGTTGAGCATTTTCTTTAGGACAGTTAATAATGTAATATTAGACAACGTCATATCTGCTCAGATTCTAAACTAAGCAGTTAAAGTATTATATTTGCATCATGGAAATCTTATAGAGCGAAGGTACCAACCACTTCACCTATATACGAGGCAATATAGAAAAGTTGATTTTGTACATTGAATCGAACCCGAGATCTTAGAGACCTAGAAACCGGTGTGCGACCTATTAAGCCATGGAAGTCGTCATATGAAAGAAGTACTTCTTTCTCAAAGCCTTGAATAAATTACATCTGATGTTAAATTAAAAGGCGAGACGGACGAAGCAGTTTCTTTCATGCATAAACTAAAAGGAAAAGTTTCTTACCCTCGAATTTTTTCCCGTTAATCTTGAAGACGATCTTCGGCATTGTTCTGATTTAATTATCTGAAAAATAAGAAAAAAAATTAAGGATATTATTCATGTTCTTATTGTTTTCTTTAACCTACTAAAGTCAGGGATAAAAAAGATGCATAAAACATGTTACTACTTATATATACTTACTGTACATGAAGGTATGATACAATATTCTCTACTGTTAACATAAACACACACATACGCATAATATTTTCAATATAAAAAAATATATAAATTTTAATATGGAAGAAATTCTTGGCAAATATATTTTATTAATCAACCATATTAAACATTTGAAAACATTTGTGCAACATTTTTTTCAACATATAATAAAAGTTTAGTAAAATGTGACATTAATTTATTACAATAAATTTTAATAAAAATTATCAACATTAAAATTACAATTTACCTGAAATTCAACCCCAATCTTTTTGTACAATCAATTCCGAACATTCAAACGGCATTTCATTTCTTATCGTAACATTGAAACTTTCTACATATACAATTTCTCCCTTAAGGGATAGAGATTGGAAATCTTATGTGAATCGAATATAAAATATTGTCTGGCTATATCATTTTATTTTTTGTCAGAACATATTTTTTTATTTGACCTTTAATATTTAAGGTGAATGTTAAAAGCAAAATAAATATATATTAGATAACATCACATACATTACTCAGGTCCTAAATTGATTGGAATTTTGAAACAACGAAGGTAACACAATGCCCAGACTCGATAAAATATAGAAAAAACCGGCTAAGTGCGAATCGGAATCGCGCACTATGGGTACTATCCACAATCACCATTGAATTGGTACAAAAGGCGGACTTAATGCAATTAGCATTCTCTACCAGTCTTCCTTTGGGATACAGAAATACATGATGGCGGCATAAAGTTGACTAATAAATATACTACTTAAGCTACTTGTCAGAAGAATTTATGTACAATTATATAAACATATATAAATATTATACGTATATATAAACATAAATACATATATGAATTATTAGCTTTCGCCAGCGGCTTCGCCCGCGTGGACTCTAGGGAAATGTTAAGTGGGATAAAAAGTATCCTATTATCTAAGTCAGGTAATACCCTGTGTAATTTCATCAAAATCCGTTCAGTAGTTTCGGCGTGATTGACCGACAAACATCCAAACATCTAAACATCCAAACAAAGAAACTTTCACATTTATAATATTAATTATAATTATAATATTAATAGGATGATACATAATATACATATGATGATGATCTTTATAAACGTTCCAAGAGAAAATTGTGAGCTTTCTGTTTAAAAATGAATTTGTTAGGAGATCGTCTGATGGTGTCAGGGTATTATGGGTATTATGTGAAAATTTCAATTGTTTAACTTTCACCGCTCATGAGATATAATCTGGTAAATGACAGACACCCAGACAGCGAAGTCTCAATAATAGTATTCCCGTTTTATCCTTTGGATACGGAACCCTAAAAAGAACATTTTTTACATTGACTGACCGGGAATTGAACTCAAGATCTCAGAGATGGCGATATTTTGAAAGCACTCGCACAAGAGCAGAAAACACAACCTAATTTATTTAATAAACTGTTTTTATGATTAAAGTCTAAAGTTAAGACAGACTTAGAATTTAATATGCCATACTTCAAAGGAAATGGTAAATCAGTTAAGCAACAATTTCCCGGAATGCAAACGGGAAATTGAATTCTATATGTTACCCTCCGAGTATCCATACTACAAATATGTTATCCAATTTATGGAGTACTAGCTGTTAGCCCGCGACTTTGCGTGCAAAGATTATAGCTTTGTCACCCGCGTATGATGTAGTTTCCTCTAGCGTAGGTGAAATAAATTTGTTAATTTATTGAACTTTGTTGACCAATGCAAGAATGCTTAACTACTACGATCGCGGGCCGCGGCGCTTATCTACTACGCCACCGAGCTACTCGGATAATACACACATTGTATATTTTTTTTGTATATTTTTTTTATATAAAAAGTTATAAACTTTCGAGCAAACATAAAAACGAATTATAAATAAAAATATTAAAACTGATTTAGCTGTTGCGAAAAGAACAACAAACAATTTAAATTCCACTGTCACTAGCTGCCTG